ATAAGCAGGAATGGCATAGTTTTTGTAAGCACGGGAGCATGGGTTTTTTGACCAGCTGGGGTATGAGCACATGGATGGGAATATGACGCAGAGAGAAGCCTGCGCTGGTAGTTCAGCTTAATATTTCAGGAAGAGACAAACTTACAGCGCTCTAATAATTTTGAAGTGCGCCAAATGACGTGCATTATAGCGTGCCTTTCACACGTAAAACTAAATATTTCACTAGTAATATGAATTTTAAGATCTTATGACAGACGCCCAAAGTTTTTTTGAAAAGCTATTACGAAAAATCGTTTTAAACACAAAGTGCTTTGAGTGAACTGTGGGCACTTTTAGTCTGTCTGTCTATCTATCTATCTATCTATCTATCTATCTATCTATGATCTATCTATCTATCTATCTATCTATCTATCTATCCTATCTATCCATCTATCTATCTATCTATCTATCTATCTATCTATCTATCTATCTATCTATCTATGTATCTATCTGGCCGCCTAAAACATTTAGCTTTCCAGGCCGTTTCGATAATGCTATCAATACCAAACTTGGTATGACATGCGATGACTGTATGAAGAACATAGTTGACTAGTTTTAACAAGAAAATCATGATATGTATGTCATGAATGTGATGATTAACATTTCATGGTCCTGCTGCTCTTGCGGTGGTTTAATTCACATGGAATGCTGGAAAACTAGTATGGTAAAGGATGATTACATGGCGAACACAAGCAACAGATCTTAACATGAAAATCATGACATGCATGTCATGTAAAAACATGACTACATGCCACACTCATGATGCGCTCGCGGCCGTTCGCTAGCGTCAAATATACCAAGTTTGGTAATACAGTACGTGAATGAATGAAGAAAGTAGGTGACTGGTGCAAACTTGATAATCATGAGGACGCATGTCATGTAACAACATGACTACTTGCCACGCTCATGACTCGCTGGCGGCCGTTTCGCTAGCTTCAGTTATACCAAATCTGGTATTACTGCATGTGAATGAATGACGAAGGTATGATACTGGTGCAAACATGATAAACATGAGATGCGTGTCATGTAAGAACAGGGCTACATTCTACGCTCATGATGTGCTCACGGCCATTAAGTTAGCTTCACATGTACCAATTGGGGTATTACGCAGCGTGAACGGACGACATTGGTAAATGACACATCCAAACATAATAATCACGAGATGCGTGTCATGGAGGAACGTAACTACATGCCACATTGATGATGCGCTTGCGGCTGTTTCGTTAGCTTAACGTATGCCAAATTTGGTATTATGTGACCCAATTGATGACGAAGGTATGTGACTGGGGCAAACATGATAGTCATGAGATGCGTGTCATGTGAGAACATGATGGCATGCTACAGTCAAGGCGCCAATACATTTCGACGTGACGCGGTGCGGGTGCTCGCTGGTGTTCATTTCGTCGCGTCAAGCCGGCGTTGGTGCACGCCAGGCGCCGGTCCTGCCATATACTCGCAGGCGCGCGCCGCATTCTGTTTCTTTGACGCATGCGCATTTCAGTGCATCCGGCGTCCCTCGGTAACACAAATAGAAAGACGCAGTGTTGTCTGGCTGACGCATTGGCGCAAAATGCAGCATGTCGCATTTCGCGCCAGTTGCCGTCGGGCCGCGCCGACGGACGCTGGTTGTGCCTGGCGTCAAACTATAGAGTGCTCACGTTTTGCTAAGGTAGCGCTGCTGTTGCCAACGTGCTCGCGCTTCAACGCTACATCGGAGTGTATTGAGCCCTTCATAATGTGCTCGCAGTCGTTTTGATAGCTACACATACCAAATTTAGTGTTATGTGACGTCAGTAAATAACGAAATAGACGACTGGTGCAAACATGATAATGCTGATACGCGTATCATGTAAGAGCCGCTGAAATAGGTTAGATTTTGTTGGTCGGTTTAAATTGCTAGCGGACACTTGCTCTGTATTCTAAAAAATGGTTAAATTTCGTTAGTCGGTTTATATTGCTAGCGGACACTTGCTCTGTAATCTAAAAAAACGATCAGTTCAGTTTAAATTACTGCGGCAAACAGCTCGCAGTGGCTGCTGCATCTTTCCATTGCCTCAAGTCTACTGCTGTAGACTATAGTGGCAGTGGCAAGATGGCTTATGACATCGCTCAACTTCACATGTCAGCCAGTGCCGCCCGGAAAGATCATCTTGAAGAATGAAGCCACCATTTGCCTCCTGAAATTTCAGATAATTTTGGAGGCATTTCAAGAACCAACTTGTAAGAGGGAGCACGCTAGTCAGTGCAAAGTTGTTCTCGCTGTCGCACTTACAGGTTCGATGCCCGCTGCTGCTTCTCAACCTTCTCCTGTGGTTTGTGGGCATATCCCTCATCTGGGCTGCATTGAGGATGTTCATGGATTCGTGGGACAGGGAAGAGGAGCACGTACTGGAACGCCTGGATATCTCGGGAATGCTGCTAACACATATGGAGGTGCTACTCTTCCTATTCGGGCTTGCGCTGTTCACCATCAGCTCGTGCGGCTGCGTCGGGGCACTGCGGGAGAACACCTTCCTGCTCAGAGTGTACTCCTTTGCACTTACCATCCTTATTGTCGTCAACTTTGTCCTCGGCGTTCTGGTTTACTTCGTGCCGGGTAAGAAAGGCGACCTTTAGAACTCACTAGAAATAAGCACCAAGACACTGACGCTCAAAATGGAGCATAATGAAACAGCGTTCTAGAACAAAAACGTCAGGAACATTTCGCAATCATATATATATATATATATATATATATATATATATTATATATATATATATATTGTCACAGGTAATGGATATGAGCCATAACTGTACCGTAAATTCGCTTGGAAATAGAGAAAGAAGAGTACTTTTGCTTCCTGGTCTGGGCGCGAGCAAGACGTCGATTCGTCGTTCTCTGTTATTTCATTTGTGGCACTGGTGGATGTGCGGGGTAAATGCGCCTTGGCTGCAGATCTTCAGCCGACACACCGAGCTATTTGGAGACAGCTACAGCTACCACGGCAAGAAGCAGTCGCCGCCTGCGAGGACTATCTCCCTAATATTGTCCTCTCTTAGGATGAGATGGCAACTTCTACTACCAGCTAGGCGAGTCAAACCAATGACGTCTATTCTTTTCACCCGCGTGTTTTTCATGCGCCGCAAACACCACGCTCATTTCTTCGAAACATTCATGATGATGTTTATGACTGGCTTGACCACTTCGATCAAGTTGCCAACATCAAAGAATGGGATGAAGCTCGCAAGCTGCGGAGAGTTTACTGTGCGTTAGGAGACTCGGCCAAAACATGGTATGATAATCACGAGGGTTCCTTTGCGACGTGGCAAGAGTTCAGCCGACAATTTCATGATGTGTACCGCAGCACTGAAAGGAAAGAAAGAGCGGAGCAGGCCATCTCGTCTCGGAACCAACGACCTAACGAGAGTGTTTCGATGTTTGTCGAGGACATGCTTCGACTCTTCAAGCGTGCCGACTCTGCAATGTCGAGGAAAAGAAGGGGTGGCATTTAGAGCAAGGGGTAAAAGAGCAGCTCTTCGCTGGACTCCTGCGCAATCCACCGACGACTGTGGCTGAGTTCATAAATGAGGCAACCACAATGGAGTGTAGTCTCCAGCATCGATCGTCACGCTATAAACACCACGACGTGACCCCTGCTGCATGCTCTATCGGGGCTGACAGCGAGAGGCATGCCCTCGCGGAGTTCATAAGAAGCGTCATGCGGGACGAGCTGCGCCAACTCTAAGCAGCGGGACCCCAACCACCCGTAAGTGCTCTCGCAGACTTAATCTGAAATGAGTTCCGACAGGTGGTCACTCCACTCGCGCCAACAAGGCCTGAGGCCTCTGTGCTGACTTATGCGGCGGCTCTGCAATCTCCTGCACCACATGCTCTTGATCCCACCACGCGGACAATGGATCAAGCTAGCCATCGATTCCAGGGACTCCGCCTCCCGCCTCAAGGTTTCCGAGTACACCAACTTATCATCCGTCTGGATCACGACAGAACGCCGCAAAGGCCAGCGTGTGGCGTACGTCAGATAACCGTCCATCATGCTACCACTGTGGTGAAGCGAGTCACGTCTACCGCCATTGCCAGTACCGCCAACTTGGTCTCCGTGGCTTTCACCCTGATGCTCGGTGCCAGCGTAACGGTGAGCGTCCCCGCGACCTCGAAGTGTAACTTACGGGCCAGCAAGCTCCTCGCCTTGGTCAACGCCCCAAATCACAATCGCCATCACCTCGCCGCCCCACGTCACCTAGCGTTCCCTCGTCATCTTATGCTCCTTTCAGAGGCTAGTCACCGAGTCCCCACAGATGAAACTAGAAACGGCGGCTCTTGGGGATGAAGCCACGTCCCAACGAACTGTCAAAGAGCCTCTCTCGACGCAAACACCCGACGAAGATCCTTCTGACTTTCAAGTCATTTCCGAAAGTCATAACACTGTTTCCGCCGACATCACAGTACACGTCGATAATGACGTCGTCAGTGACCTCGTCGACACCAGCGCCGATTATTCGGTTATGAGCAGCGCCCTGGCATCCCAACTGAGGAAGGTAACTACCCCTTGGCAAGGACCCCCGTTGCGCACGGCAGGGGGCCACCTCGTCACGCCGACTTGAATGTGCACAGATTGTGTTCGAGTCCATACTTCGACGTTCACAGGGTCTTTCCTCGTATTACCTGTGTGCTCCCGTCCACTCTTTCTGGGACATGACTTTCTTCGCGAACATGGCGCAATTATTGACCTACGAGACTTGCAGGTGTCGTTCGAGGACCCATCTCATCCTGAACCTAAAAACACTTCCTTATCGAAGGCTGCCCTACGTATATCCTCCGAATCTGTTACTATGCCGCCCTGCAGCAGCCTCATCAACGTTGAATGTGACCAAGACGTTCCCGATGGTGTAATTGCAGAAGGAAATCTGTCTCTACTTTTTCCACAACAAATCTGTGTTGCCCGAGTTATTGTTTAGCCAAGGAGGAAGCAGGCTTGCCTATTATTCACGAATTTTAGCGAGGAGTATCGAGGAGTATCGCCATCTTAACAAACACACTGTGATCACATACATTGAGGATATTGCCGACGTCCCCGGTTCCTCAATATTATCTGCTCTTTCGACGTGCGATGATTCCGCAATGACATTCGCAAGCACTCTCGATGAAAACCAGAGTCTACCATCCGCACGACGGGAAAGTCTTTTGAAGCTACTCGACTCATTTCGGGACTGCTTCACTACGACTTCGAAAGTGAACCAAACACCGCTTGCCAAGCTTCGTATCATTACCGAGCCTACTGAGAGACCCATTCTACAGCACGCCTACAGAGTCTCGCAAAAAGAACAAGACGTTATATGCCAACAGGTTCATAGGTTCAGCAGATGCTCAAGAATGATATCATGCAGCCATCGACCAGTCCCTTGGCGTCCCCTGTTGGGTTACTACAGAAAAAAAAGATGGTACCCGGTGATTTTGCGTCGACTACCGAAAGAGATCACGAAGAAAGACGTGTATCCTTTACCACCAATAGATGACTCGCTGGACCGCATTCGCAACGCTCCTTACTTTTCTTCCATGGATCTACGCAGTGGCTATGGGCAATTTTCTGTTGATGAGCGCGACCGCGAAAAGACCGCCTTCGTTACTCCTGACGGACTCTACGAGTTCAAGGTCATTTCCTTCGGAATATGCTCGGTGCCAGCTGCTTTTCAAAGAATTATGGGCACGGTTCTTTCTGGGCTAAAATGGCAATCGTGTCTTGTGTACCTTGACGATGTGGTCGTTTTGTTGGACACGTTTGAGCAGCACGTTCAGCGCTTACAGGCAGTTATTCAGGCGATTCGAACAGCTGGACTTTCTTCCAAACCTGAGAAAAGCCACTTTGGTTTTGAGGAACTGAAGTTTCTTGGTCACGCCGGTATACACCCAGACCCTGAGAAAACGAAAGCTGTTGCCGTATTTCCTGTCCCAACGAACAAGCGCGATCTCCGCCGATTTCTGGGACTGTGCGAATATTACAGACGCTTCGTAAAAGACTTTTCTAAAATCGCTGAACCGCTAAATTCACTTACAAAAGAAGGCGTACCATTTGTCTGGGGTCATAATAAGCATCACGCCTTTGACACGCTACGAAACCATCTTCAAGCACCACCTGCACTCGGTCACTTTGACGACAACGCTGCCACAGAGCTACACACGGATGCCACCAACGTCGGACTTGGAGCTGTACAAATGGCAAAATGGCGTAGAGCGCGTGATTGCCTATGCAAGTCGAGCACTATCATCCGCAGAAAAAAAACTACTCTGCAACAGAGAAAGAATGCTTAGCCGTTGTTTGGGCTATAGCAAAGTTTCACTCTTATTTTTACAATCGACCATTCAGGGTAGTTAGCGACCACCATTCTTTATGCTGGCTCGCCAACCTCAAAGTTTCTTCCGCTAGTCTAGCGCGGTGGAGCCTTCGAGATTTTGACGTTACAGTCATTCACAAGTCCGGACTCAACCACACTGGTGTGGAAGTATGAACGTGGACGTTTAAGAGGATGATACATTTCTTTGCTCTGTATCAGAAACCGACTTGGCTCAACAACAACGCGACGACATGGAGCTAAGCCCGCTGATTGACTACATCGAAGGCCGAAAACGCTGCCTTCCTCGAAACATTGCTTGTTCGCTGGCCTCGTTCTGCATTAGGGATGGAGTCCTCAATAAGGAAAATTTCGACCATACCCAGGCTACTTACCTACTGGTTGCGCAGACCTCGCTTCGGGAGGATGTTTTACATGCTTGTCACGAAGAACCATCAACCGGACACCTTGGCTACACGCGCACATTGGAAAAAATTTGCCGCTCATACTACTGGCCACGCCTCGCGAAGACACTCAAGCAGTACGTCCGCACATGCCGTGACTGCCAACGCCGTAAGGCTCCACCTGTCGGACCAGCAGGACTACTACAGCATATCGCCGCGCCAAAAACGCCTATTCTATCAAATTGGCGTTGACTTGCTCAGATATTTTCTCACGTCTTTGCAAACCGGTGGATTGTAGTTGCCACCGATTATTTAACGCGTTACAAGCAAAACAAAAGCCCTGCCCAGAGCTGCCATAGCAGAAATCGCCCAGTTTTTTGTCACCAGCATTGTACTTCGTCACGGAGCGCCAGCTGTGATAATTACTGAATGTGGTACAGCTTTCATCGCAATGATGCTTCAAGAAGTGCTGAGACTAAGTGGTATAGAACATCGGAAAACCACGGGTTATCACCCCCAAACAAATAGACTCACTGAACGGTTGAACAAGACCATTGCAGATATGCTATCAATGTATGTGGCCGTTGATCACAAAAACTGGGATGATATACTCCCTTACGTAACTTTTGCTTACAATACAGCAGTCCAAGAGAGTACAAATTTCACCCGATTTTGCTTAGTTCATGGTCGAGAGGCTCCTACAATGCTCGACGCAATGCTCCTTTCCAACAACCTGGCTATGTTTAACGCGGACACTGCCTTGTTCGCTCAACGCGCCGAGGAGGCTCGTAACTGGCCCTACACCGTATTCAGGGTCGCGAAACTGCCGACAAACGCCCCTACAACCTTACACAACGAGAGGTTA